ATAAAAAGACACCTGAGGTAAGATGGACATTCATGGTGAGAATAGATCTTTTCATTAGTCTGTAAATCACACCAATTATCTCAATTGTTAGATAGGAAAAGATTAGTTATTCTCTCCTCTGGTGGAGGCACTTGACTATTAACCAGAAGGCTGGCTGCTCAAACCCACCGACTACTTCTCGGAAGGAAGACTGGACAATCTAGTTCCATAGAGATACTGCCTCAGAAACCCAAGGAGAGGTCGCTATGAGTCGGATCTGACTCCATGGCAATGAGTTTTAGTTTATACCTATGTTAAACACTATGCAATACAGGAGGGGGATTCCGTATCTGAAAAGTTGTTCATCATTTGCCTTCAGATACTATAAAAGGGAGAAAGAGAAAGAACATTATATTTTGTACTCTTATAATTTAATGAAGTTATTTCACCAGAACTTAGCATGGAGGGAAGTACTATGGCATAGTTGTAAAGGACATGAACTTGGAAACAGACAGAAAGATAGACAGCTTGAGTCTTCCTGGGCTTGTGATCAGTAAGTGTACTTCAGTGGTAGTGCCTTCCACGCTGGAGAAATGGGTTTGATTCCTGGCCCATGCTGCTCATGTGCCACCATCTGTCTGCCAGCAGAGGTTTGCATGTTGGTATGATGCTCAACAGGTTTTAGCACAGCTTCCAGACTAAGACAAACTAGGAAGAAAGATCTGGCTATCTACTTCCCAAAACAAGCCAATGAGAACCCTATGGATCATGATGTTCTGATTTGGCATAGGATAAGACAGTTTCCTTCTCTTGTGAGTGAGGTCACTGAGTCGGGGGCAACTTGATAGCATCTATAAACAATGGTAACATCTCCCTTACCTTCTTGCATAGGTTTTACTGAAGGCTATTGAACTTTCTCTTAATTCTTGATCTATTCATTAAATATTTACCAAACACCACCCTTTGTGTGAGATAGGCTTTGTATGCAATGGCATCATTATCAAGCAGTGATTAGCAACATGGGCTTTGGAATCTGACATTCCTTTATCCTTTACATACTATGAGACCTTGGTAAATTACTTTTCTAAACCTTAGTTTTCTTATAAACAAAATGCTGCCTCATCACAAGCATTTTTAGGAATATTATATAATGAAATTCATGTAAAGCAGTCTCTGGCAGTAAGCACTCAACAAATAGGAGTTCTAACTAACTCACTGCCGTCGTCGAGTCGAACCTGACTCATACAGACCCCTCCTTGGGTTTCCGAGGCAGTATGACTATGGAAGTAGATTGCCCAACCTTCCTTCTGAGGAGTGGCTGATGGGTTTGAACGACCAACCTTCTGGTTAGCAATCAGATGCCTTACGAAGCTATTAATATTGTTGCTCTGGGAATGACTTCTATCAGCTTTAACTGTTATAATAAGATAAATGCTTTTCCAAAGATAGATTGCCAAACATATCCTGGAGCAAAAAGTCATTTTTGTTTCTAATCTTTACATCGCAGGATGTCTGGCCCCCAATTAGGAAATAGCTTCTGGTCTCACCTGAAGCTTGCCTATGAGAAGTTAACAATGTTTTTGGTTATGCAAATACTCCAGCTGAAGTCTGGAAACCAAGAGGTCACATTTCAGACTGTTCATGAACAGTGATTAAAGGTTCTTTGAAAAAGGAAAAGTTCAATCACCCTGACTTTAGCTGGAATGCAGATTTTAGATTCTAGTTCATGGACGTGGCTTACATGGAAAATGGAAAAAAACTAATTTCACATTTAAAAGAAAGTTCATTCTCTTGATTAAACAAAACTTTTTTTTTCCTGAACATATCCAATCCATCAACGAATCCTGCTGCCTCCTGCTAAATCTGTGGAGATTCCAATCACTATGTAAAAGGCTGGCTTTTGTTCTTCCAGCTCAGACTGCTTGCCTTCTAAGGGCGTAGGTTCTCCCTTCTCTCTCGACCATTCCTAACCCCTTTCCATCTTCTTTCCTCTATGCCCAAAGTTCCAGATAGGTATTTCCCGCTCCTTTGCATTCTAGCTCATTTGATACTTTTTGAACTCTTATTTTATGATTTTTCATATGTAGCCCCTATTGTGCTATGTCTGAGTGCACTGTTACATGCCCTATGATATTGCTCCTCTTGATTTTGACATTTCTTGCAAAGAAATGTGTCTTTTAAAAAGTATGTTCTTTTCTAATGTTGTTGTTGTTATGTGCTGTCG